AACTTTTATTTTATTTTAACGAGTTGATATCATTTTCAAGTGTATTCTTTCTAATTCCTTTTTTCGTTTCCTGAAAAAAAAACAACCCTTTTTCAGGCTTTTTAAACGTTGCCTATTTGATTGAAACATTATATTATGTTTGTTTGTTTTTTGTTTTTTCATTTATGAGGATTTTTGGTATTATTATATCATTAGATAAGTTATATGACTCAATATGAACGGCTGTAAGGTTATATAGCCCAATATAGGAGAGCTTATAATACATTGAAAATGAAAATCACTTAAAATCAAAAGTGATACAAACATGCAGTATTATTTTATAAAACTTCTATATTCACTTTTCGATAATTATATAAAAAATCATTAAAACGACCAAAAGTCTATAATTTTTATAAAGAATTCACAAAAAAAAACTGCACAACTGCCTTATTTGAAAATATAAAAGTTTTGGCACGAACAAAAATTTGCAGGAGTATTACAGGAAAGGCGTCCAACGAAGACCCCATGGATTAGATGTTTAGCTAGCTTCCGTTTTTTAAACTGCTAATTACCAATTTTAGGGAAAATCAAGATGTAAATTTATTTAGTCAACTAACACCAGACCGCACGGGAGTGCCGGAAGTGCAAGGCCGGTGCCTGGCTTTATTCTGGCGACAAAGGCTTATCGGCAGTGTAATGACTGATCGCGTATAAACACTGAGAAGAATAGGCGAAACAAAGGGGGGCCACTGCGTCGGAGTTTGACTTCGGATAAGGAAGATAATTATTGTTATTTTGCAAGATATATCAAAAATTAGATAAAACTAGAACATGTATAATGTTATATCTTTTTTAAAAATGAACTTAAAGACGAGACATGCTATGACTCATGTATAGAACATTGATTTATACGTTTTCAAGGGTCGAATTGCGGTGTGTAGACTATTCTATCATAGACTATAACAATTATAAATATTAACTTGAACCCAGAATTTTTTAAATCAACTAAACGGCTGGAACAATAAGAATTTTAAAAATGTTCACTATTAAAATGCATTGTAGAAAATAAATACGTGTCGACCTATCCTACACGTTCGCTACATGTATATTAAATTTGTATAAGATAGGTAACCCAAAATATTTGAAGGATCCATTGTTAAATTATTACGTGTCGGGCTAATCGATACATGTAGTACTTTCATATCTATAATTAGTAACTTTATAAATAATGAACATCTCATTCTGTAAACATTATGTATTTCGTAATACGCCATATTTATTATAAAAAACACCCACATAAAAAAACCATTTAATACTGAAAAAAAATGAATTAAAAAAAATAAATAATAAAAAAATAAAAAAAAGCATAACATAAGCGTTCTATAACCTGTACTTTATACCAGCATATTTTTCCTTTAAATATATGAGCTAGGATTCATATTCGTCGTATTTTTTAAAAAAATAAGAACATTTTTATAAATCTTGATAATTCGCACGCGGGTATTTTAATCAATCCGATGCTTAAATCACATGGGTTAACATTGCCGATTATGTACAGTTGGCCAATACATAGAGGCTATTCAAGTTTTTTTCTATAATTTCATCGGGTGATATGAAAATAAATATTTCATGAATGTTCTGATTATAATATATATATATATCTTCCCTTTTCTTGACACTACAATTTTACAATTTGAAAAAAAAAAATCCCCATTGGTTGAATTTAGAAGAAAGCAGTCCGGCAAGACACTAGTGAAAAAACGGAAACTTTGTTTCACTAAAATGAAAAGTACAGAAAATGAAAATACGCATTTCATTTCATCAATATTTCTCAATATTTCATTTATAAGTGTATTATAAATGTACTTCAATTAAAATTTGGGAATACTTTTAGGATATAAAAAATTATATCCCCCTCCTTTCCATTGCAAGCCTGAAAAAATCTCTATATGTATATCATGAAGGGAAAGGAAGACTCTAAAAAAACATATTTTATAAGCTGTATTTCTCACACAGAAGCATTATTGGCTACATATCAATTTCGGTGAAATTTATTCGCCAATTTGTTAAAGGCAAACAATCGAGTGGGATGTAAATAAATATTTCATGAGTGGCGGTAGCCACAAGAAAAATAAGATAATTGTCATGCTACAAGATGAAAATAAATCATGTATTTATAGAAAAAAAACTTGAATTTTCCGTTTATTATATTCATTTTCTCTAAAAAAATTTTTGGCATTACAACTGAAAGACTTCCCCTTAAATTTCGTTGTACTGACAGAATTAAAAAGAAAGTAGTCTGGCAAGATACCAGTGAAAATACGGAAAATATGTTTCACTGCAGTGAAAAATAAATTTTTACAGTGAGGATACGGAAATGAAAATACGCATTTTATTTCATCAATACTTCTTGTTAGGTTTTTTGGGGGTAATTTGGTAGATAGGCAGTTAAAGGATTACATATTTCTTATCGTTTTATCGAAAGAAATGAATGAGGCAGTGTATAACTACATTTATGTCAACATTTCAATTTGTTGTATCTTTGTCTGAAGAAGTTTTCTCTGTTTGATAATTTTCAAGAATAACAAAACTACACTTTGAAATTGAAATGGCCATTTAATAATAAATGACGGAAAAACATATAATACAATGTTGATATGAAGTTATCAAACTAACATAAAATTGTGAAATGGCCATTTAATAATAAATGAATATAAACATATAAAACAATGCTGATATGAAAAAGTTATTAATATAACATAAAATTGAATACAAAAGCAAGCAAACATTTCTGAAAAATGTATATAAAATTATATACACACATATCCCGAAAAATTATCAAAGGTTGGGTTCTAAGAATATTGCCCACCTAAGAATATTGCCTAAAACTGTGTATGAAATTAATATACACACATATCTTGAAGTGAAAAGAAAAATCATTTGTATATAAAATTATAAACAAACACAAAAACCTTTTTGATGTTTATAAGCTTGTCAAAATTGAATACTGAATGTGGGTGGGATGGTGGGTTATTGAAAATTGTTATGAATTATTTCTTCTTCTAAAATGGCGGACTTAATCAGCATCAATTATCACATTGTACTTACTCATAACGATAACCTTAGTGTACTTACTAGTACGGCTTTTTTCGAAACCCAATATATTTCGACCTATGACTAAAGACCCTAATGAAACCCACCATCAAGCTTGTAAGTGACCATAAAAACATTTATTTTGCAATAAATTAAGTTTTATGTCAACATTTCAATTTGTTGTATCTTTGTCTGAAGAAGTTTTCTCTGTTTGATAATTTTCAAGAATAACAACTACACTTTGAAATTAAAATGGCCATTTAATAATAAATGACGGAAAAACATATAATACAATGTTGATATGAAAGTTATCAAACTAACATAAAATTGTGAAATGGCCATTTAATAATAAATGATATATAAACATATAAAACAATGCTGATATGAAAGTTATAATATAACATAAAATTGTATACAAAGCAAGCAAACATTTCTGAAAAATGTATATAAAATTATATACACACATATCCCGAAAAATTATCAAAGGTTACTACATGTACTATGTTATCTAGAACAACATGTTAAAAAACCTTGACAAGTATGGTAATGTCATTGTATATATCATTGTCCTTTATGTTGATTTTTACCTACATTTGTTACGTAAATTGCGATATTTTTAACAATTATTAAATTTGCCAAATTAAAACAAGTGGTGCAGTTGCATCGTGTTGATCAAAATGATTATTTTCCTTGTTTTACACTCAGTATAAAAGATATACATTTATATTATGCTCAAATTTGATATTTGAAAATACTAATAATTCCTACGCAGTCTTTTGTTTTCAAATTTGAAATAAACATTTTATTTAGTACATTGTACAAACAGAGAGGATATAATATGATTAAAACTCTAAAAACACACTTCAGGTAAACACAGTATAATTAGTACTGATTACATAGTATCATTAAAAAACTGGCAGTTTTTTTTTAAAAAGACCAAATTAACTTGCCCAATAGTAGGGAATGCAGCTTTCAAGGAAGTTGTGCATTTTCTTTTCAAATTACATATTAAAGGCCCATTGTACTCCAGAAATGCTTTTATTTTTATTTCTCAGAAGCTGTTTAAGTTTGGAGGACTCATTGTGGCCAATGCTATGAACCATCTTTTTCATCTGCTGTTTTTTGGGGGTTTTTTGGCAATAATTGAAGTTATAGTGAAAAAGTATTGTTGAAGTCAAAATACTACTTTCATTACATCTTGCTACTTTTATGACAACTAATTTCACATTTATCCCTACTTTCTTCAGGTTACAAAGTATCTAACATTCTCTAAAACCATTATTTAAATATCGTATACAATTAATGATTTCCCTTTCTAAAGAAGTGAAAATTTATCGAGACATAATGTGCCCATAAGAAATAATTTCACGCGTTCACTTAGTTTCTGCAATTTCATGAGCATACTATATCTTTTAATGAAGAAGTGACTTTCTTTTGCCGTTTTGTAGCGATTACATGACTATTGATTTGACTGTAAAATGTATTTGGTAATAATCACATCAGCTCAATATCTGTATAAATAGAAACAAGTGTGTTGCTGATTTGTTTCTTATTTTCTATACAAACAAAACTTCCTGAACTATTAAAGGAATAGTTTATTAATAGTATAGAACATATAGTAAAATGCAGAATCTAATCTTAAAAATACAAATCTACACTGCTTTTAAGTGTCTAATTTACACCTTCTTATTCTATATTGTCTGCGTTTTGTGAAAACACTCTATATCTATATTGTCTGCGTTTTACTATATATTCTATATTGTCTGCATAAGCGTCTGCGTTTTAGACCGACCCTTCCCTTTATATGGAAAAATTTATGGGAGATCACTGCGTAACAGGCGGATTAATTTTCAAGCAAAATAATTCCCGAATGGTCGAAGATTTCTAATATTGTTTTATTCTTTATAGATATACATACTTAAAGTAAGCGCCATGATTATTTACAACAATAAGCGTCGTTACAAACCCTAACTAGAATTATATATATATATAGTAAGTAAGTAAGTAACGACTTTATTTAACGAGGCTTACACATTCAGTTCCCGATCTTCCATGTGGGCCTCAGCATAACATTATTACAATCAGTTTACATGTACACAACATATACACAACATATATACACAAATATTATTAAAATAGATCAATTAAATTGAAGTAATGATTGATAAAGCAAAAAATGATATGATTGTACAACAATACAGAGAAAAAGAGCAATATGTACAGATAACTTGAGATAAGTAAAACTAACATAGTACCTGTTTAAAACAATATTTAGTAACTATTTAAAAAAATATTTATATTTATAAAGACACCATGGAAATTCAAATGATAATTTAAGTGATATTATTATCTAATACATATTGGCTCATGAGTCATTTTAAAATATAACTAAAATATATCTATATATATATATATATATATACATAAATTGTTCAACTGGAGTAGGTTTTCTTCAGGCCAGTATGATGTAAATCCACCGTGAACGAGGGGTTTGCGCGCTCGTTTAGGAAACTAGAGGTCTGAAGTTCGAATCCCAGTTAAGGCAATTCATTTTTTTTTCAAATTGTTATCAGTGTTGCAATAAGTCTTATAGCCAAGATATTCACCATCAAACGCATGAAAACAATCTGGAATGAGGATTGGTCCCGTGGAGCTGAAATGAAAACCATGCAATTAAAACTTTTGTTAAAATACTTTAAGCAAACAAAACATTGTATGTAATGTATATGTATATTCGTACATGTGGTCAACCTATAGATGATAAATAATGAAAAGATAGAATTGTAAATGTATATAGCTATATAAAGTAATGAGTTTTTATCGTTTTTTTTTATTTTTAATATTGAACTTATTTCAGACCTTATTTGGCATCGATAAGAATCAGTTTTTCACTACTCTTATTTGAGCCGCGTCATGACAAAACCAACATAGTTCGTTTGCGACCAGCATGGATCCAGACCAGCCTGCGCATCCGCACAGTGTGATCAGGATCCATGCTGTTCGCTTACAAACCCTATAACAAGTAGAGAAACTGATAGCGAACAGCACACAGGGGGCCCACACAGTGTTTGGATGGTATATACTGCTTGATAGTGACCTTAAAATGAGATTTTAGTCATAACCTTATAATATGTATATAAATATAGACAAGGGGTATTACTCGCTAAATAGAGAATTTTCGATCACCTTCAAATTCATGCGAGATTTTCCACTAATTGAATAAAAAAATCCAAAAACTATACTGCGCTGAATAGCTTATATAATCCACAATTGATAAACACTGACTCTTGTCTGATTCCCTTAGCCCATTTAAAGAAATTTATTCAAAACCGTTCACTTCTGTCACAAAATTGCTTAGTCGTACGAGATGTCGCAACACCAAATTCCACGGGTAAAATATCAATTTTAAAAGGGGTAGGTACAAATAAACGCATGCAAACAATAACACAACATAGTTTCTATTACCTACCTGCGCAAATAGTCGTGAAGCGCTCTATATTTGTCTGTTTCGAACGAAATCTTCAAATAAGTGCAGAAATCTGCTTCGGCGAATACATGTTGGAAATTCTGGTCATGGTGTATGGAAACCTTTCATTGGTTGTCGTTATAAACAAAGTTCCTACCGAACCAATGAAAGGTCTCGATACACCGGCTGGTCACGTGACTGGGGTTTCCCCAAGATGTCTACGTCGAAGCAGATTTCTGCTCTGATTTGAAGATTTCGTTCGAAACAGACGAATATAGAGCGCTTCACGACTATTTGCGCAGGTAGGTAATAGAAACTATGTTGTGTTATTGTTTGCATGCGTTTATTTGTACCTACCCCTTTTAAAATTGATATTTTACCCGTGGAATTTGATGTTGCGACATCTCGTACGACTAAGCAATTTTGTGACAGAAGTGAACGGTTTTGAATAAATTTCTTTAAATGGGCTAAGGGAATCAGACAAGAGTCAGTGTTTATCAATTGTGGATTATATAAGCTATTCAACGCAGTATTGTTTTTGGAATTTTTTTTTTATTCAATTAGTGGAAAATCTCGCATGAATTTGAGGGTGATCGAAAATTCTCTATTTAGCGAGTAATGCCCCTTGTCTATATTTATATACATATGATAAGGTTATGACTAAAATCTCATTTTAAGGTCACTATCAAGCAGTATATACCATCCAAACACTGTGTGGGCCCCCTGTGGAACAGCATGGATCCTGATCAGACAGCGCAGATGCGCAGGCTGGTCTGGATCCATGCTGGTCGCAAACCAACTATGTTGGTTTTGTCATGAAACGGCTCATTTATGTTTTCTTGTTAGTGAAAGACATTTTTTAAACATTAGAAAAAAATCACCATCACTAATATTTTAGACCACACCCATCTTCAAATTTTTGCCCAAATTTTAATTTTCATAGCATATTTTGAGGAATTATTTTTACATAGGACATAACTTTTTTTGTAGAAATATTATTGATATTTTCATTTTGGACCTATACAATTTACAAAGTGATAATAAATAACAAGTGACCGTTGCTTTTTATCATTTTTTTTTTCATCTTAAATAAATGTGTGCGCGTAAAATAAATTTATCTTCTTATAAAACTTAAATCAGAAACAACTTCAAAGATATATAAATAAGGTATAAAATATATACAAGTTTACCATCTAAATTTTTTTTTTGCTGTAACAATTTGAGATTAATAAATAAGAACTTTGCTTTGCAATAGTTTTTAAACTTGCATTAAAATATCATTTATTTACATTTTTCTTTTACATTTTTCCTTTACAACCCAACCATACTTTTTCTTTGCATATATTGGCTATTTCCTTGTATCACCAAAAAGACAGAAATTCAGTTGCCTTGCCCAGGATTCGAACCTCGGACCTCTCACAACTTATACAAGCATGCGCCCCGGGATATTATTATAAGGAAAAAGTTGAAAGCCAATAAAATTGTTTTGAATTTAGAATTTCCATTAAGGTTTGTAAAATATTAATCTAAAACTGTATATAACGAAATACAAAATACATGCTATATCAAGAAGAAACAAGCTTTACCATGACTAGACCTTGGTGCAGCTAACGTCTCTGACGGTTTAGGTGGATTATCTTCTTGTAGTTTGGCAATCGTGTTTTCTAGAAAAAAAAACAGGCCAAACATTTCAATGAAATGGATAGATCTCATACAGAGAAACTGTGCGACACCTTTATGGTCAACTAAATACAGCAAACTTCACGGGCGCCAGTGATTACGATACACTCTTCTATTTAAAGCTAAGCCATTCGTTTTGAAATATATATATCATATACAAGTGTTAGCATTATCAAAAATGCTTGGAATTGCCGTGCAGCCATGTATATAGAAATAATACAACAATACAGTGACAGTAATAAAAAGTTTTATTCACAATTTGACGAGGAAAGCAATTAATTGTGAGCAGCATAGAATTGTATTAGCTCTACGTAAATTTAAATTCACGTGATAAAAAATGGCAAGCCAAGAAATCATGATCATCAAAAACATTTTATATTTTGAATAACTTTACAATTTAATGAAATATAAAAGTCAATCACCTGTAGTTTTGGTGCAAACGCATCTATATCTATGACCAGCAGCACAACTTATGGACCGAGATGCATCTTTATGTTCCTCTTCATAATTGATTATAGATCTACCATCACGAAAAGTCAAATCACAAGTAAAAGATTGACACATTAGACCTACCTGAATTGCAAACAAAGAATATCTCATTAGAAATAATTTATGGAACTAGAATGGTGATTTCCCGTGACTTTCTGGGTAAAGTGCATTTCGGGAAAATGCCAAAAAAAAAATCCGTGTCGGGGATAGTGTTTTGAACTGTTGCCATCGGCCGTACGGCCTTGGGCAACAGTTCAAAACACTACCCCCTCCACCTCGGGCCAACAGTTTGACTGTTCCCAAATCACATATGAAATAACTGTATAATGTTTTCTAAATAATGATAAACAGTTTTGTCCAAATTGAAAGTAGGAGCCCATTTTGAATATTTTAACACTCCATGGAACATAATGCGTAACGTTTTAATCAAATTCAATTCACTGGACTTTCTGGAAATTTAAACAGACGATCTTGTTTGTAGTTTATTGTCATATTTATCGCTTTGTGATTTAGAAAAAACAATCCATCCCTATACATTTGACTACGAAATTTGATAAAAAAATACCTTATTGAATCGAAAAATTGTATATGAAAGCAATAAGGACTGTAAAAAGAGTTGTTGTTTTTTTTGTGTTTTTTTTTTGCAACTTTTTGTTTTTGACACATACCGGTTCAGGACAGAACAGTTGAGGTTCTGCTGACTCATCCGTTCCATAACAGCGATACTCACATCCGTCCGTCCGGCTTTGTTTATTTAACATGCTTGATAGTAAACAACCTATGTCAGAGAGAGAGAGAGAGAATTGATTGTTTTTGGGGTGGTTTTTTTTCGCGCTAAAACAGAAACAATGGAACTTAAAGTAACATAAACGTATAAAAATTAAATTTTTATTTTGAATAAGTTATGCCTCTTTTTTCTTACATGGAATCATAATGCGCCACTCAATGTTTGCTCCTTTTAAAAGTTTTCCTGCGTTCCTTTAGACACAAAACTGAAACTGTTTGAATCCTTTTGATAATGTGCGAAAGAAACATTTATAGTGTGCGCCTCTTAGTTCATGGTACTTTACGTTTTGAAACAAGAAGGAAAACAAACAATGATAATGCAGTACAAAAAAATTAAAAGCTGTAACATTTAGGTAATTTCTCGAGATGTTGACTATATAACAGATATACAAAGAACATTTAAAAGGATAGTTTTATGGAACAAATGTGCACATTTTTCTCAATTAATAAGCAATGGAATGGGAATTTTAGCGCTAGAAGAAGCAAATATCAAAATGTACGTGCACTCGTTAAAAAAAAATTAAATAGACAAAAAAAAGTTAACTTACAGTTTATTTTGATCCATTTTCCACATTTCAACCTTTTGTCTTCCTTCTTCAATCTTTCGAGTTCTTCAACACGTTTACATGCATTGTTACAAAGATAACAGCCTGTAGTTCAAACGAAATCAAAACTTGCTAAAAATATTTTCTGGTGCGTTTGTTAATACCAAATTAATTTGAGCCGCGTCACGACAAAACCAACATAGTGGGAAAACCAACATAGTGGGTTTGCGACCAGCATGGATCCAGACCAGCCTGCGCATCCACGCAGTCTGATCAGGATCCATGCTGTTCGCTTACAAACCCTATAACAAATAGAGAAACTGATAGCGAACAGCATGGATCCTGATCAGACTGCGCGGATGCGCAGGCTGGTCTGGATCCATGCTGGTCGCAAACCCATTATGTTGGTTTTGTCGTGACGCGGCTCATTTATCTTAATCCGATTGGGTTTGGTTTTACGGCGCACTTACACAGATCTGGTCATATGTCGCCGGAACAGGAAAGGCGATTTTTTGCTAACTTCGGGTGTTACAAATTTTAAGCAACACCAGGAGTCAAAACCACATCGCCTGCTGGAACTCGCCTGCAGGATTAAACGGCGGCTGCAGATCCGATGCCTCAACCCGTAAAGGCAAACCCATCGGCAACAAGGGTAAAGATAAAGATCAAGTGCCATTTTATATGATATCATATAATTTCTGATAAAAGCATACAGTATGACACAATTCACTACAACAAACTATGAAAAAAAGAAAACAACATACAACTTTCAACATTATTCATCAAGCGAACAGAAATAATAACTACATAATGATTATGTTATAAAATACTGTATGTTATGAAATTTAATTTAATTTTGCGAGCTTTGCCCCTTAAGACTTTGCTATTAAAAACAAACTTGGCTAGATCACTTGATGTTTATTTCCGTTAACAGTGGTCAGTCTCGGCCTATTCTTTTTATTCAATGATTTCACCATAAAGCTTATTTATTTTTTTACCTGCAATTTATAACAATGAATTATGTGTACTTAATGTACGACAAAATCCACCTCTGACAAACCAGTGCAAGTAAATAAATAAATGAAGATAGTGAAAACACGCCAAGATGACGCCTACATTTAAATGAAGAACAAGATACCCCCTTTGTAAAACAAAGAGAGGCCCTAAGGCTTCAAAAGAAGAATGACATTTAATTTACTTACTTGAATCTTTTACATTTGGATCAGTCTCGCATGATCTTGCTGTAATAGAAAATAAAATTCTTTAAATAATTGAAGTTGCTAAATCTTTAACTAAAAATGAGAAATTCTACCACCATTTAACTACTCATGTCTTTATTTGAAAAGAAAAAAATACAGCTGTATAAAAATAACGATTTGAATTTTTATTGCCATCAGATTGTACATACTCGCGTAAACAGTTCGTCTGCTTTGAGGCTAATATTCAACTAAAGCCTTTATAAATACACTTTAAGTGTATTCATGTGTGTGACATGATGTCCTATTTGTCTCAAATTACTTAACTTTAGATTTCTTTACTTCATAATTATAGCACGCACGAAACTAAATTTTAGCATTTAACGAAATTTAAACTTATGTTGGCTAAAATGTTATAGTATGACTAATTGAAAACTTAGATAAGCAAGTATATATATATTTGTTCTTTAGCGAGATATTATACGGTATATTAATATGTAAATCATACACTTAATATTGAGAAGCGAGATAATTTAACACCATTGCCGTAAATATAATTGAGCTCACGTACTTGTGTGTGCGCGCGTGTGCGTTTGCTAATGTCATACCATTCTTGATATCCTCAACAGAAATGCGTATGAAAATTCCTGTGTTCTAAAATACATTTCCATACATGCTCCTGCTATTTTTGGTTCTTTAGTTTTGTATTGTTTCTTAATATATTTTGGTTAAGGCAAGGAAAATGTATTAGTGGTACTAATAACTAATGACTTTTGGTAGACACTTTTGTCATTTTTAAATTTTCACAGAAGATAATATATGGAATTCAATACTATATATTAAATCCTATATTGTTTGTTAAATAGAAACGTGACATATTTAAAATTTGTGTATTTATATTGCAGTGATGATGTACTATGTACAAATCAAAAATGAAATTATGTTCTGTTCTGTTCTGATAATATAAATTTGAATATGGAAATGCATAGATAACAGACGTTAAGGAGGACATGTCATTTTGTGAATGTTTTATTTTTCTTTTTCTTTAACAAAAGATTGCATACATCAAGTGTTTGTATTTTATGCCCTTTCAGTTAAGTAATACTTACAACTGTTTGCACTGTCAACAATTTTATAACAAATATTATTTGTGTGTTAAAGTCTATTTGTTAAAGTGTATTTGATACAAAAAACAACTTTAAGTGTCATAACTGCTTGTCTTAAATCTTATTTAAACTTCCTTCTGCTTGATTTTTTTTTCAGTTACAGACTTTGAGCATGCATTGAAATTATACCTTGGAGTGCATTTTGTCGCAGGAATATAAATGTTCTAATCTTTAAGTTTAATAGGTATTGTTTCTAAAAATAAAATCACGTCATTTTCGTGTTATGATAATATGAATATATTAAATAAGCAAGTATTGACAAAATGCCAAAAGATAAATTATATAAATAACTACTGTCATCATATAAATCAAACACTTATTTGTTTTTTCGGGAAAAGAACGATAGATGTTCCCTTTGGAATTTCGTATACATAATTTTTATACCAAACATATTTAATTTAAAAAAGGCACTTTTCCTAACTTTTGTATATGCAGTATCAATACAGATTTTCGTTTTGTGTATTTGTTAATGTCGTGTTGACATTAATGATTTAGAAAAGAGGGTATATTTTTCAATATTAATTTTCATACTTAACGAACAAAAAACGGTATTTTATGACAGAAAAGCACTGTGTTCTTAAATACTTTTTATATATACACTCTCTCCTGTTGCCGTGGATTCTTTTAATTTAGTATTGCATGCTGTTGCATAAATCTTTTTCGGGAAACAAAATCGAGAAAAGTAGAAGAATAACTCACGTATCTCAGTATACTTCTTCGGATTATTTTCTAAGCACGTGATGTCTGGAACAAGGGAAGTCTCGCCTGATTTTGAAAAAAAAACACACACAATAAATTGACAATACATAAACACTTTAAATACAAAGAATACTGTACATATGTTAGTTTTTTTTAACGAATACATATTTGTGTGAATATTTGTTTCTTTAAAGGAAAACGACTACAAGATTACAGTTATTGTTAAAGCAACTCCACTGAGTTGTTTCTTGACATGACTGGCCTGGAAATTTTCCCCCAACATTTGTGTAACATCTGATTAAAATCTGGACCAGTAACTTGTGTGAATTTTTTCAAATAATTCTCTTATCCCGTTCTTCATGACAAAGTCGTGTCACGACAAAACCAACATCAGCATGGATCCAGACCAGCCAGCCTGCGCATCCGCGCAGTCTGATCAGGATCCATGCTATTCGCTGTCAGTTTCTCCACTTGTAATAGAGTTGGTAAGCGAACAGCATGGATCCTGATCAGACTGCGCGGATGCGCAGGCTGGTCTGAATCCATGCTGGTCGCAAACGCACTATGTTGGTTTTGTGGTGACGCGGCTCATATATGATGGCATGTTATATTTTCACCACTGAATTTTTGCCATTTTGTCAGAACTTTGTGTTACTTCGGGATAAAAAGGATTTTGATATGAACGAGGCTAGATTTTAACTACAACAGGTTTTTTGATATGGAATTTTCGGACTGGGAAAAATTAAAAACGACGCTAAGTTGATAAGATTCGATCCAATAGTGAGTTATATTGAAAATCACATATTGCAAAGACTGGAAATTAAATGGTTAAATTTTATAAAGTGTGAAATTAAAAGAAATACTTGATGGTTGTACTACATAGAACCCAAGGTAAGATTTCAAATGTATTTAAAATATTATAGTTTAAAAAATTTAAAACAAATATTACCTTTAATCCCTTGAAAACATACTAAAATCCAAAGTACATGTATCGTCCTCATATTCTGTAATAAAGAACGTTTGACGTTACCAAACTTGATATTTATAAAGAATCAGTATCTGTTAACTTGTAAGTTTACACTATTTATGTAACCTTGTAAGTTTACAATATAGCAAAAAAAATTGTTTCGATCTTAGTTTTACATCTTATTTTTTTTTCTTTTTATTCAATGTATTCAAACAACATAACGTTAACATAATGTAACGAAACATAACGAATAACATACACAAGGAACGCAAGGTAACGTAACGTAACATAACATAACACAACATAACACATAACATATAGGATAATGTGTATTCAGCATTCAAAATAGTAGATAATGTCTATAGTTAAATGGAAAATGCAAATTCTGAAATACCCTTAATGTTATAAAAAAAAACGTTAAATTCATACCTAGTTCAGTTTTTTTAACTTATGAAAAATTACATCCAGAGATAAATGGTCACATTTTTTGTCCTGTTTATGATGAAATAATCCTTTAAATCTTAATATGTATTACTGGCCTATTTGAATACGAAATCGTGTAAAGATTTTTAAAAAAAAAATTGTAGTGGTATCGATCGACAAAATTAAATTTTTTGAAGTCTCAATATGTGACCGTCTTACAAAACATGAAATATACATATCCGGTTATTATGTTCCAAAAATAATAAACCCACTAATTTCGAATTAGGTCTTTTTTGTTGTTTTCGTGTGAAAGCTAGCAGGATTGCTTCCTGTCAGGGTTAACACTCGGCGGAGAGGCCAACAACTCGTTCACAGACGCCTAAGTGAAATTTGATCATTTTTATACATCGAGAAGAAAAATAGAAAAAAACTTAGACTTTCCGTTTATTAACCTGAATTTAGAAGACAGTAGTCTTGCAAGACACCAGTGAAAATACGGAAAATATGTTTCACTGCAATGAAAAATAAATATTTACGGTGAAAAAAAAAACAACAACAACAAAAATAATAAAAATGTGCATTTTATGTCATCAATATTTTTCAATATTTCATTTACAATTATTGACAATTGATGACTGTATTACATAAAACACAATGTAAGAAAAGGGACTACATCTCAAATGCAAAAATATAGTGATTCCTGTTATTTTGTCTTTTGAATAAAGTAAAACACTTTTATACTGTGACAGTGTCTAAAATTAATCGAGAAGGAAAATTAATCTCATCTCATTTTGAATGTTCCCATATGATATACATGTATACACCGTAGGGAACGTGTTACAGTATCGCGTTTTCCGGTTACAGATAGAATTTTGAAGATGGAGGATTATTTGTTGGGAGGACAGGTAGGTGATTTTTATTGCAAATAAGACATCTTGACCCCTTGACTTCTCGACCCCTTATGATGTAAAGATGACATCTAGACCCCTTGACTTTCAGACCCCTTGTAAGAAGACTTTTCGACCCATAATGTGTAATGAAATCAAGCAATAATCTTTCTTCTCTCAATACAATTCGATAAAAGTTACTGTTGCTGTCGTGAAAATTGTCCTTACTTAGGACATTACTTATTCTGCAAAAAATCTCAATCTGAAACTTAAAGTAAGAAAAATAGCAAACTATAACTTTTCTGCTGAAAAAAAAGTTATACAACCTTTCAGGCATGTATTAAATAGAAAGGTATGAGTTATTTCATTAAAAAAATGGAAACACGAACTTTGTTTGAAATTTGGCAAGTATCTAAACTGTAACCGAACTCTGGGTATAAACTTTTACATAATTTGATCAAAGTTGCTAGGTCTATGCTGTAACCTTTCAAAATTATATATATATATATATATATATATATATATATATATATATATATATATATATATATATATATATATATATATATATATATATATATATATATATTATTAGTGAATAAAAGCACTAGATGTACATGACAATCATGGAATAAAAAGTTTAAAAATGTGTGCATCGAACAATATCTATATCGCTAAAGAAATAAATATTTACCGTTAAATAATTCTTTGCGACAATTTTTTTTATCACAATCCAACCTACTAGTTTTTAAATCTTCACATATTAAGGCACTTTATGTATTGTCGAATACCCACAGCTGATAAACATTAAGATAACAGTTCGGCCGTAGGTATTACCGATGATTCACTTTACTATTTTTAAAATAATACTTAGTCAATAACAATTACATACACGTGTTTACTACTGTAAAGGCAAATAATATGGCATGATGGGAACCCCAGTAACTCACAAAGTAATTGATCTGACGTAACGCAATATGGACTTCAGTTTGAATTATTGCCTTAAAAAAATAATCAAGTATCAAAAGGCAAAAATGTGCGTGCGTCTAAGCGTGCGTGCGCGCGCGTGTGTGTGTGTATTCCGTGTTAAAAGAGTGTCGAGTAAGGACCAGGACATGTCACCAGTCATGCCCTATTAGGGTTTATTTAGAAACACAAAATGGTGATAATTTACATGGGATTTGAAATTTGAGCTAAAAATAGGTTATTGTACGACGGCAAATAAGAATCTAAATGTTCATTAACCTAAGCCAATATGAAAAGGAGGAAGCTCTGAAAAAGGATATAATGCCAGCAAAAGGTCTGCTTTTTTTAGTCTTCACTATCTAACACAAAGAGCCCACGCTGCCTAGCACGAATTCCTCGTTGTCCCTGCCTGCTTTGTAGTGCCACTCCCCACGGCCTTAGTCACGATATCGGCACGTCGACAGGTACAATATCTGGTCTTTGTTTATTTTCGGCCATCCCGAGTTCTTCAAGTCTTCTGCCAATCCCCTTGCTTTCTGCAAGACGTGCACGTGCCGAGGGGAAGACTATATCTGATTTCAATTCAGTTTTAAATAGTTATAGAAATTCATGCTATATTATCTGTTCTAAAAATACAGAACAAACATGGTTTAAAGTGTAATATAAATTATTGACATAAACTTATACTTACATAAACATGCATATATTGTTAAACTATTCTTTGTGTCGTATCCAAAACTTCACGTTATTATGTGACAGATTAGTTGTTAATTAGTAGACAGATCAGGTCAAATAATTATCCATTATCGTTTGCGGTTATCAATTTTATTTTTAAATTTGAAATGATTTAAAATCAGTCCAGCAAAAGTATAGAGCTTGCTTAATTATATTACTGTAATTCAATTCGATAGCGAACACGAAAATGATATTTTGGGAAACCAGCTAGATCACCTGTTATTTGGTATCCCTTAATTAAATTACCAGAGTTAAGATAAACATTATGTAATATGATAAATGATGTTTCAAGCAGCGTGCCTAAATCATCACTTTAATTTTCATAATTTTTTTTTATAATTTATTTAAAAGTAAAAAAATATGAATTAAACAAAGAAAGTAATTAAAACGTAGAAACCACCTAAATTACGGAAAAAGGGGTCAAAATATGCAAACATAAACTTTTACTGCTTTAGTCATGCAGTAATAATATGGTGGTTCAGGCCTTAATATGAAAATGATTACTTTAATCTTGAATATTTTTATTATTCGTATTTTTTTCTCAAGTTTGATTAACTTGATTTTTATGCTGTTCTGGAGGCATGCACCTTTAACTTTAATTTCTAACTGCTAGGTACTGGGTAAGTATGCACTTTTGTCAAGAATCATACATACTCAGTATACTTAATTAATAACATATTTAATTTACATTTTTGATTTAACTTCAAATTTATGATAAATGTATTTACATGTGTGCCATTTCTTTTTGGACGTATAATAAATGAGATTGAAATATGATGAAACGATTTCTTTACGAAGTTGAAATCAAGTCTTTTTTTACAAGTATATTAAATTAAATAGGGCCATGACGTACTCTTATCGCATTGAAGGACTTTATACAATACCAATCTTAATCAAAATTTAATAGTGTAAGTGTCACATTGAAAGTTTCATGATAAACGTCGTATGAACGCATCTGCGGGTGTTTTCAAATTCTAAATTTCACCATTTTCGAGTCGAAATGTTGAATCTGCTTAAACCGGTGCGAGGGGGCGTGGACGATAACCAGAACTTGCACTTTCAATACAGTCTATGAACAGACTCAATCAACCAGAGCCTGCAATAATTACAATTTTGTCGTTTTGGGTGTTCTTTAGGAATTCTTTTTTTTTTTTGCTTTAGGCTTTAGATAAATATAAAAGTTAAAACACAATTTTAAATTGTGTAATGGATATGAAATGGGATCGACGCAATTCTAAGATTTTCCAAGCTTTAATATTGACCACGTGTTTTCTCGTGAAATTACTCGTTTTCATATAAAGGTTACTTCCTATGTTATATAAACGTATTGTATTTGTATATATTAATGTATTTGTTTGAAAAATATTGACAATTGAAGTATAACATTAGTATCAGTTTTATACAACAACAACAACAATAACAACAACAACAACAAAGAATTTGTTTTCATTATCTGAAGAAAAGTTGTTGTTTTTTGTAGTAATGTAAAAATAACAATTTGCATTTCACTTTGGATCCACTTAGTGAAAACAAACATGGCTGACAATGCTGAATCACCTTAAATACAATATCATTTATATCTTGCACATGTTTTGATAGTAAAGTTTAAATTAATCTACGATTAATACAATTACATGCATCTGGTGTTCACTCTGTGGAATATCTTTCGATCTGACATGCAATGCAAACACATATCCTCTATGAAATATTTTTATTTCATGTATTTGCCTTTTATTAAATTCAGGACTGTGTCATGGTTTTCAAATGAGATAGAAGCATTTCCGGAACTTATTTGGCTTTTAAAGTTATACACAACAAAATTGTATCTTAAAGATTATCATTACCGAAGGAGGGGAATTATATTCATGTGTTAAAAAAGGGGGATAATTGTAACAACAATATTTTCTAGTTTTTCTTTATTTACAAAAATGTTATATAAAACAATAAAAACATCGAAAGCAAAGAATGAGACATAATCTTTGCAAGGTTTGTTTAATATTTATATAAAACATGACAAAATAATATTAAATGTACTTAGATGGAATGAATTTAGTTGTTTATGCTATGCATAAACATTTATATGTTTGTCAGGGTGGGAAAAGCATATACAATTCTAATACAGTTTTCTAAGGTTTTCAGCAGTGAGTTAATAGCGAGCTGGACGAGCTGGCCTGAAGGGCCTGCTCGCAAAGCGAGTTTTACGGTAACTTGAGTACCTGAAAACTTTCGTCCGAAGTACCGAATTGACACATTGCAACTTTTCGAATTACATGATAACAATAAAAGCCGATGTACTCTGATTGAAAACGGAAGCGTAGACTTGTGTCATGCGCACTTATATAGGAACCATAATAGAAAGGGGGAACCAGAATAAACGGAAAATACCGAATGACAATTTAAAACGGAAAATGTAAAATAAAAATGAACGATTATTTTAAACTATTTTACGGTAAAAGAAAATCGAGCTCGCTTTGAGGCTTTGCCTTTTTCATATTAATATAGGATTTAAATACATACCAACTTACTAGTTTTGACGTTTGCAAGATATTTGTTAAATTTGAACTTTGGTGGGTTTAAAATTTTAATAATGTACTTGAAGATCACGACCAAAGTGACACCATTGGTTGGATTCCGACTTTTTGAAGGTTCGATGT